GAAGAGATTACAGTTGGTCAACGATCAGTTAAAAATGAGATGAAAGCTTGCCAAGAATCTGTTAAAGTAGAGATGAAAGCTGGTCAAGATTCAGTTAAAGGAGTGATGAAATCTATTAAAGAAGAAGTTAATATGGGCCAAGCGAAAATGAAAAGAGAAATCACATGCACGATAGAAAACAAATTTGAAGTTATGGAAGACAGCATTGACACTGTTAAAAAAAGTTAGACACATTAAAGAAAGCGTTTTTTCTGTGAAAGAACAAACAGAAGGAATAGTTTCTGCCTTCCGACAACAAATCGAACAACAAATTGATGGCAGGGTTTCAGCAGTTGCGAAAGTAGTTGATACTTTGAAGAAATTCGTAGCGACGGCAAAGAGAAATACAGATGGTTTTTTAAATTTTTAATCGATGCCTGCTCGTCCTGCGTTCAATTTATTACGAAACCGTACGCACGGAACAATATAAACAGTTTTCAAGTCTTTGGGCAATAACTCATTTCTTAGCACAAACAATCTTTTCACATGTTCTGTATTTCGTCTGCATTGAAAATATTTTCAGTACAGCACTTTGTACGGAGTTCAGGCCATTCATTTGACAACCAAATAACAGGTGAATCAACAATGTTTTCTTCCACCAGCTATAAGTTGTTACAAACTTATCTTTCGCTCTTTCTACGGTTAATTCTTCAATTTTCTGCCGCATTAATAGACTCCTGTTTTCTGAAAACAAAACGTTCAATGCCTTTTCAACATTGTGATCTTTCTCCTGTGAATCTGTTTCGCATAGTTTCATTTCGTTTTTGCTTTGATTTCCCAACAAAACTTTAACAATTCTTTACAATTTTGCATATAAGTACAAATGATAAAAATGACTAAACAGAATAAAAAATGAACTTCTTTTCATTTTACTTTGAACGAAGGCAAAATTCATTAATGTTTATTCTGTTTTTAACGAGTGGTAACAATCATTTATTTAAATTTTAACTGCGAATGTACTTGATGAATTGATAAAAATTACTTCAGAGTTATGTTATCAAATAGAAATTAACAACCTGGGATTTGAGAAGGAAATCAACTCACAAATTTGACGTGCTAAAACTGTGTCGTACGTTTTAAACTTTCGTGCGGATGCTTCAATTTTGTTTTCATTAGGATTTGTCATAAATCTAGATTTTGTTAGGCTTCAAGGTATAAAATGAGTACTAGAAAATGTGCTGCTAATTATAAACAATACTCTTTCAATTTTTGTGAAAGAGTAAGTTTGCAACTTTCTTTAAAAACAATAATTTACTATTATTAAAAATTGAGAAAAATTTAGGATGAGCAGCGGGTTTAGTTATGCTACAAAAAAGAGAAAAAATGTAAAATACGTCTGCAACGGATTCAGAGTTTAAGACGTCATTATGATAGATTATAGAACATCATAATGTGGAAGTTATCTCGAGCTCTCTCATACTCGGAATGTTTTCTAATAAAATTTCAGTTTCATTTATTTACTTACTTACTTGAAACACTAATAATATAGTGTTGCATTTTCGTACACAAAATTTATTTACAATCTTCTTGGCTATTTGAAATGTTTATTAAGTATTTTGAATTTTATATATTTCGTTTATAGAACATCATTTGCAACATTCTTGAATTACCACCTTTTTATGAAAATAACGTTTCTCGAAACATGTTAACTCAATTTCCACTTGCAAGCTAATGTTCATCTAATTTAGCTTCTTATTTGATGTCGATGTAAAGATGTAGCTGAGTTCTGCTAAAAAGTCATCACTCATAAAAATGTGCTATTAATAAGAATGAGGAATTTTGAAAGTGCTTTATTATAAGAACTTTATTGAAATTGCGTAGATCTGACTTTAATGCTGCTGGTAACTCGAATAGAAACTCATTCTTTGCGCGTAATGTAATTTACTTTTTCATTTGCTGTTAGCTCAGCTTTATTCTGTTTTACCTGCATCTGTATAAACTACAACAATTTAAAAAAATAGCTCAGGTTTTCATCAATCTTTACGAATTTTGAACTTCTTAGAATGGAGTTTTAATTTATTCCGATGGTCGCTGAAGCAATAGGATTTTTTGCTCTATTCGTTATGACTCAGACTTCGGGCATTAACAAGAAAGACATAATGCAATTTCAAGGTTTATATGTGAGCGTCTGAGTTACGCATGGGTACTCTTGACAGAAATTCATGATCTAATAAGATGAATCTTATTTATTGCTATAATCATGTTTTATATTTTCGACAAAAGTTTATTTAAGCTATTTAAAATAGTAAAAAATATAGCACACATTTTACATGATAGCAAAGGCTGCATGTTATTTAATGTCCACTGCAATGATTTTTGATTAATTCTTAGTTTACGCGAACGATCTGAAGCAGCTGGCAAGTAAAAATGTAAGTGAAAGACTATTGCTATTTATCAAATAACGTTAAGGTAAAATTAATGTATTGATGCAAGATTTAACGACTTTTAATAAATGTTAATAAAAAATCAGACAGTAGTTGACATTAATTTCGTTATCATAAAGATTAGGTTATAAAATTATTACCTAAATAAACAGCTTTCTTATTACATTAATAATATATCTCCAGTCTTCTTTAGTTATAACATTTAATTTTCTAAGGAAAAGATTTACTTTGTGATTAAACGAAATCCGTTAATGACTCTGGCCGCAGAGACAGACAGCTAGATAGGAGCAGATTTCAAGTTCTTTGGAAGAACTTAATCTAGTAATCCGTGCTTTTTCAGTGACCAAATTTAGTAAATTGTAAATATCCATCTGTAACATTTATAACTTCTCGAATTATTAATAGCATGTTAAAATAATTCAGAAGTTAATTTGTTTTTAATTAATAATCAGTTTCATTAAACAAATGTAATTAATTTAATTCAATGAATTCAATTTATTAATTGTTTTAACAGCATTTTTTTTCTCCTAATTCCTTTTATTTAAAAGTACGTTCTTTTCAATATGCAGTCAAACCTCGGTCAAAGACACCAGATCCTTAAAATCAGAGATTAATACGCTTTCATTTGTCGGATGATTCCTAATAACGGGCAAAAGCCCCGATTCTTTGGGTGCCAGCTCACGGGTTATGGTTTAATAAAAATATCTTTTTTAGGCATGCCTGCTATTTGATCTAAATGTGTTATATAAAATTTTATAAAAACATTAGTAAATTTCTGAGCTTTTTATATTTCCCTTTATCGATAATAAACTTTTTATATATTATTATATAATATTTATATATTATCATATAATTTATATAATATATATATTTTATATATATTATATAAATTATATGATTTTCCCACTAATCATATAATTTATCAGAATTCGGTGATCAGTGAATAAATCAGAAGGATAAATCACCTTAAAACTTACATTTTTATCTTTCACTGAAAACCAAGCATTTCGGTTGTAGGTGTCTGGGAATAATTAAGGTTACAACCACTTGGTATCAACATCTGTCAAGGCTTTAAGATAATGTTAAGATGGATTTCGATTTCAGATTTATTTATCGTAAGTGTTTTCAGAAAGCAAGTTTATAAAGTAAATTACTCTACATGCATTCGTGGGCAGCTCATCAGTAGTTAATACACGCAAACTCAAACAGATAAGTAAATAAATGTATGTAATAGACTCGTTATTCTTCACAAGAATTTTATCCTTTGTTTGGAAGAAAAATGCGTGGCCATGGCTAGCAATCCTTTGCAAATGACTACGCCGTTTAGAGTTTGTAAAATCTTGCAAAAAGTGAGAGATTACATATAGATCAGATGATCTTTGATGAACCGAAACTAAGAGGAGAAAGAATAAATTTCGAATAATTGCAAATTCGAATCGATGAAGGTTTCGTCATATTGCCCCAGGAAAGCGCTGAATATTCCATATCGGTATAAATTGACGTGTTTACAAAGTACGACGGAAATTATTGCCTACATTAATAATGATAATTATATAACTGTATAAAAAATTCTAAAGCATGTTTGAAATTAGGATATCAGATTTCTTATTTGTATAATTTATATTAGAAAAATGCTACAAAAAGTGATATGAAGTCATTTAGCTGTGATAGAGAATCGAATGGTATAGATCTACTTTATAGTGAAAGCTAACGCAATGTTTTCTTTGCATTTAGTAATCTTCTTCTTTCAACCACATTATTATTGCATGGAAAAATTAATGTAAACAGTGTTATAAAAGCAATGCTTTGAATATATTGTTTTTTAATTTTTTAAAGAACCTGTATCATGTGTTTCAAAACATGGGCTAAAAGTATAATTCAAGCAACTGAGTTTTGCACCTTAAGATGTAAGATCTTGTCATGCTGTTCGAGTCCATATATAAAGACTACTATAACTAATGACATTCTGTACAAATCCATAAAAAAGATGAGGCCATGCTTTCATTTCACAGTGCAGTCTTTCAAGAGTTTCACTTCCTTTCAAGAGGGGACTAGTTATACTTCTTGATACAATTATATGTTTCGAAAGAACATTTAAGCACACCAATTCTAGTGTTGAATGGCATTACTTTTAAAATTAAAGTACGTGGTATGAGGATTGCGTTGATTATGAATACGCCCAAAATAAAGATGCCACACACCATGAAATATGTCTCATTAAATATGTCTAATAAGCATGGCTGATAAATAGTCTAATATATCTGATTAAGTGTGTGCTAATGTACTATTTTCATTCGCACAGTAGTTTTGAATTCGGATCAGTTGAAAACCATTGATCTAAGCCTTAAAGTTAGCCTAAATATAATATATTTTGAATCATGTTTATGTATTAATCATTCGGTGCAATGTAAATAAAGTGCAGTTCGGTGCAATTTCATATATTAATCATTCGGTTCAACGTAAATAAAGTGCAGTTCGGTGCAATTTTTTAGTACAAAATATTAAAAAATTTGAAATTTTATTGGATATTTTTATGTGTTCTGTAAAATTACAAATCAGTTAAAACTTATTACTTACTATCTAGGTGGATAAATCGGATTAATAGATATAAATCGAGCCATCTCCATGATTGTTGCCAGGGTATACGGCGTTTTTATCTTGTCATCAAAACAAACGGTGCCATCTTTTCCTATCACGGCATCTATTTCTTGGTGCACTTTTTCTTGTACGTCTTCATACGTCGTCATTAACAATAACAGCCAAATAACTCCGGCATAAGTTGATTCATTACCGGCAATGAAAAGAATTACCAAGTTGCCAAGGAGGTTTTCGACTGAAAAATAACACAGATGTTTTATTTTGATTGAAATGATGAAGTCTCAGACAATGAGTTACTGTAAAAAGCATCGATACAGTTTACATTTGAAACATTTAAAATTATGCTGTATTACTATTTAAATATTGTTCTAGATAAAAGTAGTCAAAGCTGTGGCAACATCAGGAAACCTTATATAGACTCATATTTTAAAAATATTATAACTTAATTAGACATTTGTCACAGAAAAAAAATACTATGTACCGATGTTAAATCGATCCCCGTGATGCTTCTGCGCATGAGGAGAAAAGCTCAATCAATTTGCAAAACTAAGTAGTAAGTTTTTCCGAAATGCAACTATTTATTTACTTACCGCTTGTCTTGCTCCGATCTCTCTTTTTTTATCTAACTTTTCAAGTATAACACAACACACAACAATCCAAAACGCGCGCACATACACACATAAGGGGGGAGAGAATAAAAGAGAGAATGTTTTCAGTTAATAAAAAAGAACGTATGTCAGTGTTTCTGTCTTCTACGAATTTTCAAAAACTAGTGCATCCAATGAAAAATTTCAGGCATTATTGAATAGTAAATGGAAACAAAATTATTTAACCTAATTAATAAAAAGCTTATTGCTATTGCTCATATAAATGTTGAAATGTAGGAAAAGTTAGTCATTAGTAAGACTTAATGGAAATAATACTAAGATAAATAGGTTATTTGCATGTACAAATTAAGTATGAAAATAATAATATTTGTTAATGCAAAATTTCGAGAAACATACGAAGAATTATTTTTATTCCAGATAAATGATTCCAGGCATCATTTATCTTTTTTATACATACGGATATGTGTTGATATATATCAACTTATCATAATGTACATAATGGTAATTGGTTAATTGGATAATAGCGAATTTAAAGTAAAACAAAAATAATTATGACAGTTATTGTTACTTACTTGTAAACGTGTGTGGTTTCGAATCATTATTCCTATTCTCCATTTCTTGCAAGTAGCAGCCGATGAAATCATCTCTTGTGAGAGCATCTTTAGAACGCAATCTTTCTTCTACTTCACGTCTAAGAATCATAAAAAAAAGTCCAATAAATTTATAATTCAACGTTTTAGACAGGATAAACTTAAAATACATTTTTGTGCTGATACTTGGGAAAACAGATTATAAAGAATATTTTCTGTTTCGATTTTAGCTGACTCGGCATGTCAAAGCAATGACAACACATTTATTTTGCAGATTAATTTAAAACTGTGTAACCAAAGACAGTGATAAAGAAAAGGAATTTAACGTATTTAATAAAAATTCATGAAATTAAGTAAATGCTGAGTGAACTGTTAAAGTTTTATCCAAAACATTTTTACGGTTTTGTTGTTGTTTAGGACTAATATTTTACAACCAAATCAAATGAATTTTAAAACAGTGAACAAGTTTCCAGTGATATCCTTCACACACTAGTTTAATATTTGAAAGCTGTCATAAACTTGTACCTTTGCAGTTTGAACATGGAAATCTACCAAAAATCAGCACTGATTTTTTTCATAATGAATTGTGTTTACCTGGATATACATGTAATATGTAAACTGAATAGGAACTGTGAATATTTACTTTTCTGTTCGCTGCATCTAATTAATAAATAAGTCAAAGTAAACACTCTTCATATTTTTCCGAAACTTAACAAAATCAAATTATTCAGATACAATTAAACTTATTATTTGAAAAGTAATCTTTTTAGAAAACCATCTAAAAACACGAGTTGGAGACTAGCCAATTATTTCAGTTATGTAAATTAAATTAGGTAACAAATGGGTTTCTCAAAACGTACTTGAAAATGTCTTCGAAGTCTCGAAGGACGTGAGCAAAATGTTTATAACCTCCAATGTTAAAAACTTCCAAAAATTTAGTTATCCAAGGCAGATTGATATTAAGACCGACAGGCGAGAAGTTCTTCATCAACAGTTGGTCACATCGTTGAATTTTCTGAAAGATATAATTCATTTTAATATAACAGTATAAATATTGTTTAAACAACAGTATAAATATTATTTAAACAACAGTATAAATATGACTTAAACGACAGTAGAAATGTTATTTAAACAACAGTAGAAATGTTATTTAAACAACAGTAGAAATGTTATTTGAACAACAGTATAAATGACTTAAACAACAGTATAAATGACTTAAACAACAGTATAAATATGATTCATGACTAAATTAAGTATATAAATATGAATTAAACACAAGTATAGATGCTATTTAAACAACAATATAAATATGACATTAAATAGCAGTATAAATGTGACTTGAATAGTTGTGCCGCTGCATCCAAAAAATTAAACTTAAAAGTTACCCCCCTTTCAGTTAGCCAAAAAGCGGTTTGAAAAACTACCTGAAAATCAAAAATATAAAAGGTACTAAAATTCAGAAATACAAAGCGTCAGGTAACAAAAGGTAAAATAAATCCATAAACAAATAAAGTGCGGCAGCAGATTAAGATTTTTAAAAATCTATTTGTTTCTTCTTAATACAGCTCCAAATCTTGGGACTGAAGAGAGCAAGATAGCGGAGAATATGATTTCAATTCATTTCTTCTCAGAGATTAGACTGTATAGCCAGCAACTCCTATAATAAATTATTTTCTACATCCTGTTATTAAAGAAGAGTGCTTGGCAAAGTTTCAATATCGATTGGAAGCAATAATGACTGTTGTAAGTGTGCAGATATTCCATAGTAAAGATTCTACAACTACCCTTTTCTTTGGACTTTGATACGTAAAACTGGGAATTTTGGCATATGTGAAATACTGTTCTATCATAACTCTCGGAAATTCTTTCCAAACTTGTTTGAAAAATTCATTTTTAAGTACTTTCTTCACGCATCTCATCACTGGATATCTGAGTAATCGCTCAGTATTTTTTACCTGCAAATCTATACGCTTTCATAGCTCGGATACCAAAATGACGATGACTCCATTGTAAGATGATAATTTTGTTATTATTAGACAGATCATGTAAAAAAGATTAATAATCAAAGGAAAAACTAAACATATGTTGATTAGATCCTCAAAAAGCACTCATGTTTATTTCGTAGTCGTGGATCAAACTTTTAAGAAAGATATTCCAGTTAAATTTATATTTAATGCATTATCATAGAGAAATTCGAAACACTTAAATAAATATTAGTACATACAGTTAGTATTAAAGAACTCTATCTTTCAGCGCTGCATACGATAAAGTGACCCCATGCAGCTATTCAAAATTTACTCAACACGGCGGTTTGTGAGAGGAAAAGAGTGAAAGTTCTTTTTACCCATGTAAAATAATCGTCAACAGGGCTGTGATTGGAAAGTATGCCCTGTGTCTAAACAGAAAGAAAGAAGACAAGACAGCCCATTATTCATTTTGTTCTAAATATTTTATTCAAAATAAAATTAATGATTCATTGAAAACTATGTATTGAAAATACACTCCTGCTAAAAAAGTAAGAAACAAAGGCAAAATATGGAGTAAATGAAATGAATATTCGTGAAATTGATCCAAGAGTTTGGTGCGGTATTACTAGACCATAAAGCAAAGACATACAAAAACACATCTATTACAACCATCACACCACAAAAGACCAAATGTGTCGGAAGAATGAGCAGTAGAAACATCACGCTAATAACGGTTATGATACCCTCTAGCTGAAATGACGGCGAAGCAAGTTGGCAATAGTGTCATTGATCGCTTGTTGTGGCAGTAGCGCCCATTCCTGTAGTAATACACGTCCAAGCTCCATGAGTGCCCGGCGACACATTGCAACCTGATATCCTTCATACCAACATGTCTCGCAGGTGCTATATGGGATTAAATTTCGGTGATCTAGTAGGCTACATCATGTGGAATGCTTTCACTCTCCAGATAACTCCACATCACTAGAGCTCTATGCGGACGGAGGTTATCGTCCATAAATATTGCGTCGGTACCCATTCCAGTGATAAAGGGACGTACAAGAGGATGCAGATTTCGTCGCAATATCGAATGACTGTGTTAGAACCAGGGATATCCCACGTAGTGGTTGATGCAGCCCTTCGTTGCTATCCCAGTCCATATAAGTAAGTCACCTCCTCTGTAATAGTCTCTTTCGATGTTTGGCTCTCGATAGCGTGTCCCCACTGCTCCGGTGTCACATTGCGATGTTCAGGAGTCCATTTCACCCGCGCTCTGACATGCGATGAGGACAAAGGAACACAAGACCACAGGTCGTCGGACGTAAAGTCCACTTTCATGCAGTCGACGCGACGTAATCCGACGGGGTATGGGCCGTCTTACAGCAGCACAGAGATGCGACGCCAACTGTCGTGCTGTAAGTTATCAGGTTCAGTGTTTCTCCTTACTTGTTTGGGGAACATTCAAGAACCTGACTCGGAACAGGGACCTTACTAAAGCTATGTTCAATAAATGTGGGAAGTAGACAAGATACACAGGAAGGGTATACGAAACCCTTTATTTTTCACTCTTTACAATAATTTCCGGACTTCGGAATACAGAGACCAACCACTTGTGGTCTAACGTAAGAATATAAAAATATAACTAAACTCTAACTTAACTTTGCAATATAAAACAAGGGCCTACTTGGAAGATTGGCCGTATACTAACAGGAAGCCGTATGTAGTACAGAGAACTGTTAACACTGCAATACGTTTAAAATTATTAAGAGGATTAAACCTCTGGCCTGGAAGGCAACCAGCAACCGAGTAAAACTACTATGGCAAGCGGCCTGCTTTTACTAACTCCTTCCTCTCTCTCGCTTGGCAAAAAGCCACAACTTAAGTACTTGGCGTTAGGAAGACAAATTTGCATAAATAAGTTAAAAGTTTTTAATTCTGGCTGGAAGTAGAAAATAAGAAGTGATAGTAAAGATTTAAAATAAATACGTTATAACTGGATCCTTCATACTCCCGCCATTATTATTTGAAACTGAGGTCTAAAAGACCAGACCTTTAAAACTTTACCTAAATCTACGCGAGCCAACTTTAAACATTTCTCCTAAACAAATTAAAAATCGTTTAATTATAACTTTCAACTTGTAAGGATCTTAAGTTTTACTAACGTTTATTTTATTTTAAATCTTTACTATCACTTCTTATTTTCTACTTCCGGCCAGAATTATAAGCGTGAAGGATTTTATGCAAAGTTGTCTGGCGAACGCCAAGTATTTAAGTGTGGCCTTTTTGCCAAGCAGAGAGAGGAAGCAGTGAGTTCGAAGCAGGCCGCTTACCTTAGAAGTTACGCAGTTGCTATTTGCCTTCCAGGCCAGAGGTTTTAATCCTCTTGATAAATTAAACGTATTGTAGTGTTCACAGTCTCTGTGCTACATACGCTTCCTGTTATTATAAGGCCAATCTATTATTCTAAAGTTAAATTAGAGTTTAGTTTTATTTTGATATCTTTTACGTTAGACCCCGAGTGGAGGGTCATTGTATTCCGAAGTACGGAAGTTCATTGTATATAAAGAAAAATAAAGGGTTTTGTATACCCTTCGTCTGTATCCTGTCTACTTACTACAATTAGTGAACATAGCTTTAGTAAGCTCTCTGTTCCTAGTCAGGTCATTGTATGTTTCCGAAGAAGGTTAGAAGAAACATTGAACCTGATAGTGGCGCCCGACGAAGAATAACCATGGCCGAGTTTCAAGAAGAACCTGTGCTGCCTGCAGAAACGGCTCAGAATCCAGAAATGCCAGCTGCCGCCCTGGAAGGATTTGGGTACATCGTCCAGACCATGCGCGCTTCGATGAAACCAGAAGCAACGTTTAATGGAAACTCACAGGTAACCAGTTTTTTGGAAAAATTGGATGACCACTTCATGCTCTACCCCGTGCACGAGTTTCAAAAAGTTACCTTAGCTACCAGCGCTTTGAGGGGCCAAGCGCTTAACTGGTTCAAATGTATCGGCAGAAGTCTCTTGGGTCAAGCAGGAAGTCCCACCTATACTTACGAAAATTTCAAGACTGCCCTACTAAAAGCCTTCCCTGTTGTAAAGGGATCGTGCGAAATTAGAAAACAGAACTTTTCAGTATATATCAACAAAGAATGGAAAACCTCTCGAGCTTTATTTTAAGAAAAATTCACGTTTTCAAGCTCTTGTATGGAAACCGTCCGGATCCTGAAATAATTCAAGTGATTTTGCCGAGGTTACTACCCCAAGTGCAAGACTTTATTGAATTGAGAAATCCGACTACACTGGAAAAAGTTATTTGAGCTAGCAATCCAGTTTGAAAGTAGAAGAACGGCGGACGTCGAAAGAAGACGCCAATATCAACAGCGAAACCAATTTGGTACGCCAAGACTACAGCAAACTCAAGCACATGGCTACGGAGAAAAAGCGAATCAGTGGGCAAGGAAACCCGAGCATTCAAAAACAGCCGGCGAACGTCGACAGTTCAATAGCAACCCAGGAAAAAAGTCTCAAGGCCAGTGGAGAAAGAAGGAAAGCACCGAAAGGAAAAATAATTTAAACTAAAACGGATTTCTGCTGACGAGAGGGTGCGGAAATCCGAAGGCCACGAAAACCCCTCTTCCTACAAGTTAAATACAGTAATGGTGAAAAATTTAACTCTTCCGAAGATTGAAGTCTTGGTAAATAATATCCCGGCCACCGCACTCCTGGATACCGGCGCGCAGTGTTCCTGTGTGGCAGAAGTCTTTTTTAGAAAGTATTTTCGCAAATACCGCATATATAATGCGGATAATACAACAGTATTAGCGGCGCAAGGAGAACAATGTAAGTGCGTAGGTAAAGTACCTTTGTATATCCGTATCAAGGACGAACAAGTAAAGGTGATGTTTTTTTATAGTAAAGAATTTGCAAGCACATTTAATACTAGGAATAGACTTTCTTTCAGACGCACAAGCTACACTGGATTTTAATGAAGCGTCCCTTAAGCTGACAATGAAACCAGTGCGTGTAGAAAAGGTTGAACCGCCAAGGTTAAATCTT